CATATATATATGTATATATACATATATATATATATACAATCAATTGATATCCTCTCTGCGTTATGAATGTGAGATTTTTGCGCTCCAGACGACATGATCTTTTGAGTTGCGTCCGCCCAAGTCTTGTCCATGAGATTAATTAGGCAGGGAATGACCGCAAAGACGAGAGGATATCAATTCAACGTAGTTGTTCTCTTTAGGTTTCTCGTATCACCATGTCAAGAATGTCATGTTTTTTAAATATTATTTTATTTATTTGTTGGGTTTTTTATTGTTTGTTTGTGTGGTTGGTTGGTTCTTTGTATGTTTTGGGGTGTGGTTCCTAATGCCCCATACCCACAGTTATTGAGTCAGTACAGTATCCATTATTCTGGTTCTTTACCTTACGCAGCTCGCATTTTTTCTTTTTATTTTACCTTTTAAAACAAATGTTCCGAATCGAGACACTTCACAGCTACATCGAGAAATACATTTTTTTATTTTTTTATTTTTTTCATTTCGTTTTAGAAATTTATTTTTGAAAATGATTTGATGGACTTTTGTTTCGTCTCAATAACTATCGAGACTTTGTGGCGACAAAATAGCTATTGTTTTTGTCTAAAAATTAATTCCTTCTGGGAATCTACAAAATAAATTGTTTGCTCAATTTTGTACTCCTACATTATTCAAAAGAAGAGTATTTTGACGCCATTGCAGTAAAGAGAGTAAAAAGGATAATAATTGCACTTCAGGGTTCCACACAGGGGCGACCTGCAAAGGCATGTTTATGAAATTGTTCTGCAATGGCGTAATAGCATTGTGTATTAAATTTGGTTTAGAGTTTGTGGGTATGGATATTAAAATATTTGTGTGTTTAATTATATATTTGCGTATATATGTTTCCCATTGTATGTACGTATAATTATATAATATATTCTATATAACATAACTATTTGTAAACAAAGCACATTCGAACTATATGTCAAAGACGTATACCCACTGAGATTTAAAAAATGTAATTTAATTGTGACAGATACAGAAAAACCAGACAAACATGCTTATTTTATTTCTTTTTTTCTCTCTGTTTTTCTCTTTGTAGTCGCCAACCCTCCAGAACGGGCTAAAGATGACAGCAACGTCGGGACGAGGAACGGGCAGCTTTCTCGTAAGTACCACATTTGTTGTTGACGTACGTGCCTGACATCACTTGTCGAAGGAGGCGATTTGTTTGTTGGCTTTTATTTTTCGTAAATTTGATTTTTCAAATCAGCCCGTTTGGCCTCTGAGAAAAAATCTTTCTCATGCACACACATACACACACACACACACACACACACACACACACACT